CACCCTACTCATGACCTCCTCTTCTCCGATTCCTGATCACTAACCTCTTTGTCACCTCTTTTATTTTATGATGTCACTAGGTTCCTGGAGTAGGAAAAATAACGAAGAGCTGTGTTCTGGGGAGAACTAAGTGTGGTAGACATTGTGTAGAATGGAGTAATGGTGGTGCAAGGAGAGAACATGATCAGCTGAAACAGATACCACATCCCTTGAAAGTTTCAGTGACATAATTTGCCAGGGGCCAAGGCAGAATTTGATCGGCTGTTTGACAGGGTCCAGCCGATCAAGAAGAGCCGAGGGGTGCAGGGCACCCCTCCGCAAGAATATGAAGAGCCGGCCTTTCCCCAAGCTATGCTGAACTTTAAAAACTTGTTTTTCTTCCCTTTGTCTTATACCCCATTTTCCTACTCATGCTGTAATTTTTCCAGATGGCCGCTTTAAAGAAAAGAGCATGCTCCCCCCGCGGGGTTGGTGCTGAGAAAAATATGTGACCACCTGCATAAGCCTTCAGAATATTGCAAGGGGCAAGTTCCCCCTGACACACATAGATAGTGGGAGAACTTTTCTCCCTAATGAGGGGTTCGTACTGAAGAGAATATTTGGATCAAAGCAGCTGCCTCCTTCTGATTGATGTTTTGCTCTTCCCCCAGTTTCCCTGGTGGGAGTGGATGTACCTCTTCCTCTGTGGTTGATTGGAGTGTTCCTGCATGTGCTAGTTGTTGAAAAGTGTATTGTTCCCCTGCATGAGTTTGGAGGAACATTGTAGAGGTCTTTTTTTAATTGCTGAAGTCGCTTTTGTGCAGGAAAAGATAGTTAACTTCTGCCCCCCTAAAAGTTAACTTGGTTCCCTGTATGATTATACTTATCAATGATTGCTTTTTGGTTTATTCTGCAAGAACATCTGTACTGCTATATTTATCTCCTGCTGAAAAAGATATAAAAACGCTGTAAATACCAGTAAAGACAGACTTGCTTTGTACTTCCATATCTGTCTGAGAATATTTGTAGAGCTATTTCTGTAATAATCCTGAAAAATATAAAAATGACACTTGTGCACAGTAAAGACAGACTTGATTGCACCGACTCAAGTCTCACATCCCCTCTTTCACTGCGCCGACTCCGTCTCTCCCTCAGGAACCTGGACTCTGCTGGAGCTGGACTCCGGCAATAATTGATTAAGGCAAGGTGAGCAGCAAGGATAGCTCATTTCTTGTGTTAGGGTGGGGTGATAACTAATAAACAAATATCGATCCTCCTTGAGGACAGGAGTCTGTCAGGGCTACAAGGGAGAATGGCAAAAAAGAAAAGGGAGGAGCAGTCTTCTTTCCTTTTCTATCTTTATCACTCTTTCTCTAGGAGTAGTTTATTCCACCTATAATAAGAGTGACTAACGTGGACAGCCCGTAATAAACACAGTGAACTTTGATAATTCAGTTTTGAAACTCCCCTGCAAACCATATATTTGTATGTCCCACTAAAAATTTCCTACTCTATTTCCCTTCTAAAAAGATCGAATAGGTAGAAACTCCATTAAGCCAAGATTCCCGTTGAATCTTTTCCTAGCATCTTTGAGTGTCACAAATAATCTCCTGTATTTTGTGGAATCATGAATTTACTGAGAAATTTGTGTCAGGTCTGAGAGACAGAAATTGATGAATAGAGACAGAGATGGATTTGGGGGGAAGGACTGAGAGGAAGGAGAGGAAAGGCAAATTTTTTCTTTTGTCTTTGTTTTTTGAAGAATAGCCCTGAGCTAACATCAGCTGCCAATCTTCCTCTTTTGCTGAGCATGACAGGCCCTGAGCTAACATCATGCCCATCTTCCTCTACTTTATATGTGGGATGCGAGCCACAGCTTGGCTTTCAAGGGGGTACGTAGGTCTGCAACCAGCGAACCTCGGGCCAGTGAAGAAGAATGTGAAAACTTACTGCTGTGCCACTGGGCCAGCCCCACTTTTTCACTTTTTCAGTGTGGGGTATAACAACAGAAACAGTGAGAATCATAGCAGATTCCCCATAGTAGGAGGAGGATAGAGGTCTGCAAATTACCAGAGAAGTGGACCACTGCTTACACTCCTTGCACTTTGATGGTAGTGCTTGATCATGAGGGAAGTAGCTGCATCGTTCTGATCACCTTCTATTCACCAACCAAGAGATACACCAACTTAAATGCAGTGAGATGACCAAACACACAACACCTACACAGATGAGATTGACATCAGTATAGAAGTCTCATATATTCACAGCCTGGGGGAGGAGAACATTGGACACCCCCCAGGGCCACCTGGGTGTAGCACTTAAGAGAAGAGTGAATAAGCAGGGTCTGTAAGTTGCCAGCTTTCTGATAATCAGAGGAGGAGGTGTACCCTCGTTCTCTTAGTTCAATGGAAAAGTCCTATCATGAAAATTCATGAAGTTGATGCAGGTAGTTAACAATCCCTGGGGAGATGTCTAGAACTTTCTGATGACTATCAAGAGCATTCAATCTCTGAAAGAGAAAAACTCAGTGTCATCTCTCCTGCTGATTGAATAACCACCCAGGTTGTGGAACTCAGTGTAAGCATCCAAGAAACTTCCCTTTACCATTGTTATTAAAAAGAATTTCACTGAAGAAAACTCTGTGTGCCACAAAATCCATGTGTTCATAGTGTACAAAACATTGTGGAGAGAAATTGAGGAAGACCTAAATCAATGGAAAGACATCCCACGTTCATGGTTGAGGAGACTTAACATTGTTAAGATGGCGGTACTCCTCAAATGGATCTTATTATTTTCTCTGCCCTTTCCTCTCTTCTCCTTCTGGTGACCCCATTACGCATATGTTGCTAGACCTGATGTTATCCCATAAAGCTCTGAAGCTCTCTTCTTCACTCTTTTCTTCTGATTGGAGAATCTCTATTGATCTATCATCAAGTTCACTGGTCCGTTTGCCATCTCAAATCTGTGGAGCCCCTGTAGTGAGTTTTAAATGTTTGTAATTATACTTTTACACTCTAGCGTTTCCACTTGGTCCTTTTTTTAAAAAAATAATTTTTAATTCTCTATTGGTATTCTGTGTTTGATTGGTCAATGTCAGGCTACTTTCTTTTAAGTCTGTAACATAGCTTCTTTTCATCCTTTGAACATATACATAATATATGCTTTGGAGTCTTTGTCTGGTAAGTTCACCATCTGCACTGCTCAGAGATAGCTCCTACTGATTGGTAGTTTTCCTGTGTAGAGGAGATTTTTTTTTCCTGTTTCTTTGCATATCTCATAATTTTTTTTGTCAAAAAACATGCATTTAGATAGCAGATTGTGACCGCTCTGGATTGTGATTCACTCCCTAACCTTATGTGTAGCCCCTTATTTGTTGCATTAGTCCCTTGCCTGGACTAATTCAGTGGAGTCAGCTTGCCCCACCATGACTGCTGGTTTCCCTGCTCAGTTGTTCTTTTATAAGTTCTTGTTTTCCTCTTTAAACCTGGCTTCTGAGGAGACATCTCTGTTTCAGCATAGCTTAGTGGTGAGCCAGTGATGGGTCAGAGGTGGTGTTGAAATATCTTGAGTCAGTTTGGCTTCCACCATGTGCTGGTGGATCTCTGTATGAACTGGGACACACATTTAAAGTTTAGGCAGTGGACAATTACACATCAGGTTTTACTTTTGTGGACACAAAGACTTACATTCAGCCTGGACGAAGTAGACAGCTAGGCCAATCTTTTCTCTCTTTTAGCCCCGCCCATGAGCACAGACTTCTAGATCCCCAAGGATATGTGGCTGCTTATCAAGTCCTACTTGGGCCATCGTGTTCCCTAGATTTCTCTTTTAAAATGTGGCTAGATCACTGCTTTTTTTACCCAAAGCTCCCCAAACTTGTAGCATATAGATGTGTCTTAGAGTTTGCCTCTGGAAGTTGTTGTTGTTTTGGCCAATGTCCATAGGTATGTGTTTATTTGATGACTGAAGCATCAAGGAAAATGAGCTGGCAATTGGAGTCATCTAGGAGAGGTGTTCTGAAGGTTAGGCCTGTGCAGTTGCCTTCAAAAAGGTGACACTTTTTGAGGTGAGAGTGGAGATACTCTACCTTTCACTACACAGTGTGTGGTTAAATTGGAAGGGTAGAAGGAGGCAGGGAGGACAGACAGAAGGACCCATGTGTTCCCACCAATGGTGAGCTGGTGTTCAAGGAGCACCTATTGTATACATAGTCCTTATGCCAGGTTAAAGTTCTCAGTATACAAAACTCACATCACACTGTATGGAAGGGATTGTTATGTGCATTTTGTAAGTGAGAAAACTGAGGTTCAGCGCAAGGGAATGATTTCATCACGAGTAGAGAAGAGCTCCAGGTCTTTCTGCTCTCGTCTGAAGATGGGTTGTGTTTCCAATTTGTCTTGAGTTTTGAGCCACGATGGGGAAGGCATTTGGAGACAATCAATATGGTTGAGTTTGGCATGTGTTAGGGAAACTTTCACTCTGAAAATGCCCACTAGACCAGGTGAGTCTAACAGTGGATCTGCCCCAATGCGTCCTGTGCCCTTGAGGAGTTCTCTGAGCCTCAGTTTCCTCCCCCTCCTTCAAATGGAACCCTGCATGGCTGCCTCATCAGGTTGCTTTGAGTCTCTTACAAGAAGCTGGTTGAGCCTTGTACCTGATGCTGAGACTGTGGTCAGGAAATGAGATGGATGGTGTCGAACACCATGAGAGAAAATGGTCTTTTCATCTCTCCGTGATTCCTTTGCTGGGTCCTCAGGCACTGGAACTGAAAAATATGTTACAAACATTTTTACTACATTTTAAACTAGTGAACCTCAGAGACTTTATATAGCTAGCCAATGTTCTGTGCATGCTACCTGAGAGATAAACTTGAACTTCATGCTCTCAGGCTTAGGAATGCACAAGCACTCCCCTGGTGAGGTTGATTTTTATCAGGTCATGGAGCTGTGCGGTAAGGTGTAAGGGGGTAGATAAAAAGGCAGTGGCTATTGATGTTTTCAGTCCCAGCAAGGCAAGCTGCCATGGCACCACGTTTGGGAATCTTTCTGATTTTGGCTGGCACTTGTATCTTTCTCCAACTGGACCATGTGGATGGAGGTGAGGGAGGGGAGAAGGGCTTGAATTGGTGTGGAAGAACCTGCACCAGAAACGGGTTGGTGTGTAATAGAATAATAATAATAGTGGTGACATGAAATATATCTGCCAATTCTTGAGTATGTCCCAAGGACAAGACGCTATTATGGCCTTTACATTATATTTAAGTTTCAAACAAGTATTTGTAATGTAAACCTAGTCAATCTTAGTAAAAGCCAATGATATTACTGGCTATCAACCCTCATGACAGCTGCCTCATTCCTAAATATCCTTCCAATGTCCCAGCCATGGGCAGCCTCTATACAGGGTTAGCTAAATTGTTCAAAGAAAGAGTTTTTGATGGAAATATAATTCAATATTTGGAATAACAGGAAAGATGTAGTCTCATGTAAAATCTTATGATTTCTGTGGTGTAATTCATTTGTGGCAGTATAATAACAGTGAGAAAGTGTAAGAATCTTACTCATCTTTTATGTTTAGCTCTCTAGTACTCACATACAGAGTGTATCTGTTTAGACAAAACATGGATGTAAAAATGTAAAAAAAATACAGTATTGCCAATTCTCATCACTACATTGTATAGTAGATTACTAGAACCTAAAATTTAAAATGTGTTAAGTGGGGTCCAAGCCCCATAGCCAAGTGGTTAAGTTCATGTGCTCTGCTTCAGCAGGCTAGGGTTTCACCACTTTGGATCCTGAGCACGGACATGGCACCAGTCATCAGGCCATGCTGAGGCAGCGTCCCATATGGCACAATCAGAGGACCTAAAAATAGAATATGCAGCTATGTACTGGGGGGCTTTGGGCAGAAGAATAAGAAGAAGAAAAAAAAGAAGATTGGCAACAGATGTTAGTTCAGTTGCCAATGTTTAAAAGAAATTTGTTAAGTGGGAAGATCTTGTGTTAAGTGTTCTTACCATGATTAAAATACTTATAAAATTTTAGTGTGGAAAAAAAAGAAAGTTATAGATGCAGAGCAGGTCCTGCTATAGAATGTAATCAGAGTGCTTAAATTTTGTTCTGACCCCATCTCCATTCATCTCCTCTTCTCCTGAATTTGTCCAGCTCTGAAGCCGATGGGGGCTCACCCTTCTGCTACAGTCAAACCAGGTAATCTATTTGAAAAAAAATGAAACAAAACAACAACCAAATAAATCCAACTAATGTGTGGGGAGGGAACTGTGATTGAGATTCTTATGAGATATTTAACATGCAAGAGGTAACTTTGCCTGCTCATTAATCTCTAGGGTGTGTGTGAGGAACAAGGGGCCCTCCATAGAGGTGTTTACTTATTGAGGCTAAGTAGCCTACAGACAGGGGGACTGGAATCTCACCCTAGGTCAGTGTTTCAGGGCTGGTGCCATATGCCAAGGTAAATAGGGCCTTATTCCAAGGGATGGTGTTCGAATAAGGGAGCTTGTCCAAGAGGCATGAAGCAGGATTGGGGAGGGAGATAGTATTCAACAGGAATATGCACGTGAGTTGTGGAGAGTTGACATCTGTGACCAGGAAATCCACTGATGAGGCTGACAGAATTCATCAAGTCTAAAGATGCCTTGGCCAGGTCCACATAACCACAAAGCCCTCTGTCTTTCTGGAATTTTCATCTTCGATCCATTAAAATGGCTAAGTCAGTGCACATTGAAACTATCTTAGATCTGCCATGATTGTGGCACAGATAAAAATCATGCTTCCATATGATGTGAGGCAGAATATTAATGACAAGAAGAAGAAATTGCCTGTGTTCACAGAGATAGAATCTCTTTAGACTTTTGGTATTGAATGTGGGAAAGCAGAAACTACAGCTCTAGACACAACTGAACAACAGGTGACAAATATTATGATGCAAAATCAGGTTACTTTGTTGTCTGGCAAGCTCATCCATTGCCTGGAGCTCCAATATCCATGGAAATGCCTCTGGGTAAATGTCACTGGAAGTTAAAGAGCCTTTCCTAGTTCCTGAGGGTAGAGATCACTTCACGTTGACCTTAACATCCCTGATGCTTAGTAAAGGGCTTTCTACATGGCAGGCCCTTGGTGATGATGAGCTAGCTGGAATAGAAACTTTGCAAGAGTTACTGCTGAGATAATGATACGCTGAAGAGCTGATGGCGACAACGTCTTTGCTTTTTGCAGAAAATAAGTGTGTCTTCCCATTCAACTACCGAGCTGATCGGTATTATGATTGCACTAAGGCTGATTCGTTTTACCATTGGTGTTCCTTAACTGAAGATTATAGAGGGAGTTGGAAATATTGTGCTGCCACAGGTGAGTATGGAGCTTATCCTCATGTGATGAGCATGTGGCTTCCCTCTGAAAGGGGATGCTTGCATAATTGCTCACTGATGTAAGCATCAGGCTTTACCTTGTCTTAACTAACATGTTGCATTCATGTCCCTTTCTCTTGATAACACACAGAAAATGTTTTCTATGAAGCACTTTCTCACCCATTCCTTGTACTTTCAGACTATGCCAAATGTGTCTTTCCCTTTGTCTATCGTGGCCTAACATATGAAAGTTGCACAACTGATGGGAGTCTTTTTCGCATTTCTTGGTGCTCAGTCACTCCTAACTATGATCATCATGGAGCTTGGAAATATTGCTAGTAATAAAAAGGTAAGTGTCCTGGGGATGATGAGAAAAGGTGCGAGTGATCAGGCATGAGATAGAGCTGGAGAAAAAGATGGAAAAAGAAGACAGAGAGAGAAGTTAGAAGGCAAGAGGAGACAGGTTGAGCGAATGGGAAGAGGTAGAAAGGATGTAGGAGGAAGAGTAGGGAGCAGAGGTTTGGAGAGGAGGGAGAGGAAAAAGGAGAGAAAAGGTACAAGATGAGTAAGGGAATAAAGACAGAATACAAAAGATGAAGAGTTAGAAAAGGAAGAAGAAAGAGAGTTTGCAGGGTTAAAAATGGAACGAAGAGTATCTGGGGAGGATTAGTGGCAGGAGAACGTACAGGGAGAAAAGGTGAGAGACAGAGAGGAAGAGACAGTGAAATATCTTATGAGAAGCATGTGAATGCAGCAGTAGAGATAGGGAAGAGCAGGTAGGACAAGGAGGAAAAGAGAAACAGCTTGGTACTCATGTGACTGACTGGAAAAATAAGTAGAACTCCTTAACATGGACAGCAACACCTTGTTAAATTGCTGTACAGTGCATCTAACCCATGGCCATGAATGCAATGAAGCCTCTGAAATCTCCATGGGAAAATCAAGAAATCTCAAGCACAAAGGTGATGCTCTGTGCAACAGAGGTGCAATCCTTTCCTTGAAACTCCACTTTGTTCCCACCGTGCATGGATTCAATCAATAAACCACTTTCTCTGCAGGTGTGGTTCTGTTTCCCATTCATGAAAGGAACCATCATTCCAATGGGAGGGTCTCAGTGTGCCCAGCTTGATCACACAGGATCTTCATGTCCTGGCCCTCTCCTCCTCCAGACCTTGTGTGGTGATGGAACATAACACACATTAGAATTCTCTTTCCTGTGGGCTTGATTGAATATTGATGGTGTAGTGTGGAGTCCACTGGGTGTGGGTGGGAGGAGGGTCCCAGAGGGTATGGAGAGCTGGTCCCTGTCTTAAATGACTTTTCTTTCCTGACTTAGGTGAAATGTTATTTCTTCCTGGAGATAGTCTCTGACTCCCAATATAAGGAGTGCTGATCATGTGCTTCCTGTCCATCCACTCTGTACTTGCAACTAAACTTTCCATTTTTCTGAGGTTTGGAATCTTTTCAAGGACCAGATGGGCTGCCTTGTTTGCCCTGGCACAAGGTGTTATGTGCAGAACGTGGCACCTCCTTGGTCCTCAGACATATTTCAAAGACCTGCTATCTTTTTCTTTTTTAAAAAACAGATATTCTAGAAAAATAATATATCAGTACATAACAGGGCTTGAATGAGACAAAGTAAAATTCACATGTGCCCCAAATAAAAAAGGGCCTTGAAGTTAACGCCTAATCTTTCTTCTGGTGCATGAGCACCTCAGAGAGATCTAGAATAGTGGGTATTGCATTGGGGATGGCCTTTTGTCACCATACAGGGAGTTTACCACTCTTGGCCTCTATGATGTTCAAGTTGGTATTTCCCTGGAATCTGAAACCAGGTCAGTTTAAGGACTATCCAGTAAAGGAGCGTAGAAAGGCTCCTCGTGTGGTCCCAGAGAGCCAGGTAGAAATTTCTATTCTTGTCCCTCTGAACCGATTTGAGAGACACATTTATTCAAGAAAATACACTAAATATCAGTCAGAACAAGAGTCTGTGAGATCCGAGCTACTTTATGATCCACACCAAGCACACCAACCCACAGCTCTGTGTGATGAAAATAACATTATGAACAACATCATGAGATCAGGGGAAAAGATACTCAGACAGCCCTGCTCCAATGACCATCTCTCCAGGGTGACTGGGTGTATGCCCATGGAGGCACCCTGTGTAGAAAATGGACATCACTGAAAGAGTCCAGCCAAGTCACCAAAATTGTAAACCACAAGCCCTGGGTAGGTAGTAATCATTGTGCAGAGTTTGCACAATATATTCTATAAAATGTCCAGGTCGTAACAAGAAAATTGAGGCATACAATGATATAAGAAAGTGTGACTCATACACAAAGTTGTAAGGTACAAAATGAATTGAAAAATCAATTGTCTTTGATACACTGGCAATGAATAATCCAAACAAAATGAAGAAACATATTTTATTTGCAATCATTTCAAAAATAGTAAAATGCTTAGCAATAAATTTAACCTAAGATGCGCATGGTTTATACTCATAAAAATTTAAATAGTATTGAAGAAAATTAAGAAAAGCCTAAATTATTTAAAGATCCCACGTTCATGGATTGGAAGATTTAATATTGTTAAGATGGCAATACTCCTACATTGGCTTCCAGATGCAATTCAATCCTTATGAAATCCTCAGTTGTCTTCTGTGCAAAAATGCTAATCTGATCCTAAAATTTGTATGGAAATTTATGGACTCAGAATAGCCTAAACAGTGTTGACTTGAAAGAACAACATTGGAGGACTCACACTTCCCAATTTCAAAGCTTAGTGCCAAGCCACTGTTATCAAGACAATGTGATTCTCACCTTTAGAAAGACTATGGAGTAGAACTGAGAGACCAGAAACAAACCTTTACACTGGTGGTCTAACGATTTTTGACAAGCATACCAAGAGCAATCAATGGTCAAAACTATAGACTTTTCAACAAATGGTGCTGGGAAAACTGGCTAGCCAAATGCAAAACAATGAATTTACAGTCCTATATTAGAAATGCTCAAGGGACTTGTCTCATGATGTCAGCAGCATGGCTGAGTGAATTCTCTCTTTGTCTCTCCCCTCTAAGTTACTACTAAATGGGCATTCATTAACCAACAGAGGATTCCCTACACAGCACAATATGAAGTTTGGGGTATCTACACAGCCTTCCATCAGCAGGTAGGTGGAGTGGATCCTCGGAAGCAGTGGAAATGGTGAGCACACCCCTCCCCCTCCTTGGTGGCAACAACCCATGTCACAGAGCGTCAAACAGAGGCTGGCCTGACTGTGAGAGGAGGCAAGTGCAGCGTGGTCCATGCACAAACACTTTTGAAGTGGTACTCCAGCATGAGGGAGCACCCACTATGCCATAAGAACTCCACTTATGGGAACACTCCCCACTGAATGATGGTGGCTCAGCATGCACAGAAGCTCCCCACACACCAACTGAAGTAACTCAGCCCAACAACATGTGAATGCAGTGCCAACCCATGCACAAAAAATGTGCCCAACCTTCCTAGCACAGCAGCTCACCTGGTCCCCTGCCCAGTGCAATGGCCCTGCCTGCAAGACAGTGACCCACCAACTGGCTTTGGCCAGGCTGTGCAAATAAAGGGCAGCCCTAGTGGCACAACTTCCAACAGATGGGGAAGGTTCAGAAAACACTGCTCCTCCTCCCTCCACTGATGGTAGGTGGAATCTGCAGACTTATACTACCAAAAATGTGCCAGGAAAGGGTCAAGTCATCAAACACTGAGGTCCTACAGTAACACTTCAGAGCAGAAGGAAAATGACAAGTCTCCAGAAACCAATCATGAAGTCATGGAAATTTACATTCTAAACGAGACAGAAGTCAAAATAGTTGTCATAAAGAAACTCAACAGGTTACAAGAAAATTCAGAAATCCAGTTCAATGAGCTCAGGAATGAAATTAATGAGCTGAAGGAATACTTCACAAAAGAGAAACATTTAAAAAAATTATACAGAAAGTGTCAATATGAAGAACACAATTAAAATATAAAAAACAATCTATAAATCATACATCTTAGAGCTGACCATATATAGGAGAGAATAAGTGACCTAAAAGATAGAAATCTGGAAATGCTTCCAGTGGAGGAGGAGAGAGAACAAAATTTTTTAAAAATGAAGAAATTCTTTGAGAAATACCCAACTCAGGAAAAGCAACCTAAGGATTTTAGGTATTTCAGAGGGAGAAGGGAGGGCAAAAGGAGCAGAGAACTTGTTCAAAGAAATAATAGCTGAGAATTCCCAAACCTGGGTAAGGAACCAGACTCACAAGTACATGACTTTAATAGAACTCCAAATTACATCAATGCGAAAGACCTTCTACAAGACATACACTATTAAAACTGGCAAAAGTCAATGACAAAGAAAAAATATTAAGGGCAACAAGGCAGAAGAAAGCCTACAAAGGAACCCCTATGAAGCTTTTAAGAGATCTCTCAGCAGAATCCTTACAGCTTAGGAGAGAATGGAATGATATATTCAAAATATTGAAAGACAAAAGCGTTCACCCAAGAATACGCTATGCAGTGAAAATTTCCTTTTTTTTATTGAGTTATTGATAGGTTACAATCTTGTGAAATTTCAATTGTACATTAATGTTTGTCAGTCATGTTGTAGGTGCACCACTTCACCCTTTGTGCCCACCCCCCACCTTTCCCCTGGTATCCACTAAACTGTTCTTAGTCCATAATTTTAAATTCCTCATATGAGTGGAGTCATACACAGATTATCTTTCTCTCGCTGGCTTATTTCACTTAACATAATTCTCTCAAGGTCCATCCATGTTATTGCAAATGGAATGATTTTGTTCTGTTTTGCAGCTGAGTAGTATTCCATTGTATATATGTACCACATCTTCTTTATCCATTCGTCTGTTGCTGGACACTTAGGTTGCTTCCACGTCTTGGCTATTGTAATCAGTGCTGCAACAAACATTGGGGTGCATAGGACTTTTGGGATTGCTGACTTCAAGCTCTTTGGATAAATACCCAGTAGTGGGATGGCTGGATCGTATGGTAGTTCTATTTTTAATTTTTTGAGGAATCTCCATACTGTTTTCCATAGTGGCTGCACCAGTTTGCATTCCCACCAGCAGTGTATGACGGTTCCTTTTTCTCCGCAACCTCTCCAACATTTGTTGCTATTAGTTTTAGATATTTTTGTCATTCTAACGGGTGTAAGGTGATATCTTAGTGTATTTTGATTTGCATTTCCCTGATGATCAGCGGTGATGAGCATCTTTTCATGTGCCTATTGGCCATCAGTATATCTTCTTTGGAGAAATGTCTGTTCATGTCTCCAGCCCACTTTTTGATTGGGTTGTT